TTCCTAGCATTGTTATGTTGAGTGAGTCAAACAAATACCATGGGATAGTTCCTGAAAACACCACGAACTGGAAGAATGTGCCAGAACTAGCCCTCAGGAACCACGAAATCCTCAATCTACAGGCGGGGTGTGGGTGATCACACTGGCTTCTACCCGCATCTGGGGAGGACAGTGTAACCAGAAGGATTGTGCCGGGACCGCTCCTCAGCGGTCCTGCGCCTGCTCTGTGGCCCTCCTGCGCAGGGTGAAGAACAGCAGCTGACCTCCTGCTAAGATGAACTCTGTACGCTCCACCCTCAGAGCTGATCCTCGCAGCCGGCCTGGGGACGACCTGTTCCTTTAAGAGCCGACTGGATAGAGTTGAAAAGATCAACTCATCTCCAGAACTCCAGGGGGTGGGGAGGAGAAGCCCCCCACCCCGCCGCCCCCCAGCCTTGCTGTTTTGCAAATGGTTCTCCCGCGGGGGGCTGGCCTGATCTGTTGTTCTGAAATGGAGGGTCCTTATGACTTTGATTCAATTTAGCTTTAAACCGTAGCTCTAGAAATCCTATTTCTCTCTCTCTGTCTCTCTCTCTCTCTCTCTCTCTACCCCTCAGAGGCCCAACCTCTCCCCCGGATAATCAACAACCCCCGGGGGCCCCAGAGGACAGTCGCCTGGACCTGACTGATGGTCACGCGGTCTGGACCTGAAGATAACATCTTGGCTTAAGTTATGTTTCAGCTCCGAGCCCTAAGGTGGAACGACCCCCTGGCCACTTTCCCATGAGACCAGACAGAGGGACGCCGGAGCAGACCTCAGAACTGTCCTCGGGACCTGCAGGCATGATTTATTATCCTCACCTCGCCTCCCACCAGCCAGCTCCCTGCACGACCCCGAACCCCTAACCCACGGTGACTTCTGATTTTACCCTGTAGAATCTGTTACCCAAATACCCGGGTTTTTGGGCATCAGCTTCCCATTTTCCTGGGTGGCGCCATTCATAATAAAATAACCCACATTTTTCCACTGCAATTCTCGGTGTTCATTGTTTGGCTCTGCTGGTGCCGGGCGGATGAACTCTCTCTGTCTGACAACCGTTCTGAGAATGAACTGTGCTTTCAGGGCCTGGGGTCTGAGCTGTTGACTTTTGGGGTCTACTGAGGTTTGGCACCTGTAGCTCCATCCTTTGAGCAGAGCACAACCCTACCGTGCCGAGGGTAGACTGCCAGGCAGCTTAGGAGCGAGGACAATATATTCACGCCCCACACTCAAATCAGGGATCGCCAGGAATGCGCGGGTCTGGGGGAGCAGACTGCAATCGCCAAGGTGGGGTTTGCCAGTTGCCCGCGTCCCATCGGTTGCCCGCGCGGTCCGCCAGTTGCCCGCGGTCTGCCGCGCCGTAATCCTGCAGCCCTGTAATTGGCCACACTAATCTGCCCTAACCCCCTGGATTCCTGGGCGCGTTCCTCTGCAGCGCAGTTTACTGCGATTCACCACAATTCGCCATGGTTCATGATTTCATGGGTCTCCATGATTCTCAGTTTCGAGGGTTATCTACGGATCTATGGTCCTCTGGCGACTTTGTGCAAAACTCAAGTATTTGCTGAAAGGCTGCAGCAAAATTGCTCCAGGCCCTTGTCTGGCACCTCCCCCACCTGAATCTCTGCATTTCAGGAGGAATTGATACTTGACTCTTAGTCGACCCTCCCCCAAGGCTCTGGGTTAGCAGTGAATCACCAGCCCACGGTGGGGGATGGTGGAGTCAGAGGGTGGCTCAGCCTCATCTCCTACTCCCAGGCCGACTTCAGCCTTCCGGGCTGCCTGAGCAGAGGGGGTGGTTTTGTGGGGGTCTTGGCAGTGTCTGGATATGATGCCAAGCTGGGTATACTACTCCTGCAAGCACGAGCCTGAGCCATTTCGTGTGCCACAGCCAGCCTCACTCTCGCCCCCACCCACAGGAGCAGGCACACATGTGTGCACAAACACGGACATGCATGCACGCGCGCACACACATACACACACTTCTGTTTGGCCCAGCTCCAGATCCATGAGCTGGACCTTGACTGTTTCCTGGCCCCAAAGCTGCAGGGACTCAAGCCCTGTTCTATTTTTTTTCCCCCCGGGGCCAAGCAGAGCCTCACTGGGTCCTGCTTTTCTGGAAGGGAAGACAGCAAGGTTGCCAGGAGACAGGAGAGCTGGCGAGAGGCAAGGCCAGGGTTCGCCGGGAAGAGGTTCTGTACTCCTTAAAATGCTTGTCTCACTGGGAGGAGGCTCTCACGACAGTCTCACGACTTCAGTGCAAAAATCCCACCTTGAAGAATTCTCTGCCCCTGACGTGCCCCATTCCCCAGGGCTGGCTGCCATCTCAGTCGTGACCCAGCTCAACAAACCTCTTGTTCCAAGCATGGCGCAAGCACAGGAAGTGCCCCAGTCGGCCCTGAGCGGCGCCCTCGCCTCTGGAACTTTGAGCACTGACATTGACCTGTGCTGCCAGGAGAGACCGTTCTGCAGGACCCAGTGTGGTGGGCGCTGGCCTCCCACGCAGTTCCCAGGCCCCAGCTGCTGGGCTTCTCGTCCCCCCGCATCTCAAGCCAGCAACTTCCCTGGGACAATGAGGAGAAAGGCCTGGCGGTCCACAGTCTGGCCCTCATGTCAGTGCTGCCAAGTCAGCGCTGGGAATTGGGGCAAGTCTCTGGGCTCCTGGGAACCCCAGCTGAGGATTCTGTAAGAGTGAAGAATGGGCAGGATTTGGGAGTAAAAACAAGTACACGACACCCTACCGTGATCCCCAAAGTTACGGTAAATTCTAAGAGGAGCCCTGAACCGATTCCTTGGGAACCCCCAAAGAGCCCCTCCGCACAGTGGTGTTGATAGGGTGCCAGCCTCTTCCCAGGCGCCAGGAGGCGGCGTGGAACCTGCAGAGTCCATGGAATCTGTGGTCTCCTCTCTCGGCCTGCAGCAAGGGCTGGTGGGACTCAGCCCAGGAAGTAAACAGAATGAACTCCCCTGGGGGAGGGGTCTTCGGCCCAGGCTGCTTCCAGCTGGGCTTTCTCTGTTCCTTTAAGAAGGGGAAGAACTCTCCGGCCTGGAGTTTTCAGGCCCCCAGCCTGGTCTTGCTAGTTTGCAAATGACTGTGTCTGAGCTGGGGGAGGGGTGAGGATGAAGGCTGCCCATCCCCCTCTCCTGCTCGGCCCTCAGGACAGAGGACTGGGCTTCAGGGTCTGTGAGCCTCAGAGGAGGCGTGGCACCCGCAGGGTTCACCCCGAGACCGTCCAAAGCCTCTTGGGTGCTTCTGGTGGCCCACGCTTATCCTTTGAACGGAAAGGGGACTTTGGGGACGTGCAGATGTGTGCCCGGGTTGCTTGGTAGCTTTGAAATTGGGAGAGTCGGAATGGTCCGGGCTCCAAATAGCACTTTCAGACCATTTGTGGGCCCGTGAGATCCAGGTCCTTGGCTGGGCAGGGTGGCCGGCTGTGCTGTGGCTCGGCAGGGTTCGCCAGCATGGCCCGTGGTCCGCAGTTGGCGGTGCACGGCCACCTACTGCACTCGCCCTGAGACTTTGTGTCAGCCACGGTGACTGATGCAGAGCCACAGCGTGGGGGACCGCCAGGATCACAGGGCTGGGGCTCTCTGTGTTTCACGGCGACTCCCTGTGATGTGACACGCACCTCGTGGCAGCTCGGTCGGTGTTCCCTGGGCAGCGCTCTGTGCCTCCCGTAGGGACTGCCACAGGCCTTTCTCTCAAGTTAGGGAGACCGAGAGCACTCTCTGGAAGGTCAACTCAAACTGATATCTGTGTGGAGCTCCCCACCCCACTACGCCCGCCAGGCGCAGCAATGTCCCCTCCGTGTGACAAATAACGGGGCTATATTGGCTTATCACACTGCGTGGAGGGGGACAGAGATTAGTCCCCAACCTCCTTTGGGGTTCTCTGTCACTGTGTGGCCAAGAACTCAGTTCAATGCTCCTGAACCTTTGCATGGTCCCTGCCTTCTCGGTGGGCAAGGGGCCCAGGTGACATGTGACTGCAATGCAACAGGGAGCAAATAACTCCAAGCCCCTTCTCACTCTCTAGCTTTGTGCCTTAGTTTCCTCAACTGTAGACAGGCGTGACAAAGCACACACCGGGGTGAAGTTTAAACGATCTGGGAATGTGTAACGAGAAGCCCTCAGAATCGCTCTGCGTGGATCGCTGTGCGCTCACGGTCACTTGTTTCAGTTTGCCGACCAGCGGTGGCCCTGCACCCTCCCGCCGCACGACCATTTCTGCAGGAGCCATTTCTGGAGGAAATGGCGGGGCCGGGACTCATGTGCGTGCAGATGTTTGGTCTGTGCTGCCAGGACGCCCTCCCAAAGCCGTGGCCGTTTGGTCGGCAGACGCGGCGTAAAGTTGGGACAGCCCGCGTGTGGCGGGTGGGGGCGGCGTTTTTATGGTAAGACTTCCAATAGTTTAGTCAAAGAATGCAGATCTTAAAAGCAAACAAACGTCCTGCAGGGAGATTTTGACGGGGTCCGAAGGGAGCATTACTTTTTAAGTTCTGCAGAAACCCTTGTGGAGGGGGTGGTGCTGGCCCCCGGGACCCGGAGTCCCACTGTCCACTGGCTGCACGGTGGGGTGCTGGATAGTCACGACACTGAACCTGGCTGAACGAGGATCTGAAGCAAAATAGCCTGAGCACAGTCTTGCTGGGGGCAACTGAATCTTGGCTCGGAGCAGGACTATAAGGCGGGGGGGTCGGGGCTCGGGAATGGGAGGGTGGGGGGCAGTGGTGGAGGGGTGAGGGGTTCACTTTATTTGGAGGGAATATGGGTTCAAGTGCGAAATGCTGATCTAGGGGAACACAGCTCTGCATCTGTGCTCTGCTCAGCAAGGACTTCCACTGGGGGGGGGGCGGCCACGTGGCCCGACACCAGGTTCCTGGTTCAGAGACCCTCTGGACTTGACTCGAGGGGCTCCCGGAGCTGATGCTAAAGTCCTCCACTTCTTGCTTCTGCCCGTGCCGGGGTTCGAGACGCAGGCATGGCGTTGGCTTTAACATTTGGGAACGTGGCAGTGACTTCTGCGGAGCGCCCAGCCCCCCTCCCCCAGACCCGCCGCGAGGCTGGGGCCCGGGCCGCCCCGAGCGTCCCTGAAAGGCTGCAGTGTGAGTTGCTTCCTGTCTTCTGCAGTAACACAGAGCCTCACAGACTTCTTGGGTGGGAGGGGCGCAGCCTCGTGGGCTGTCTTGCTGGACCCCAAATCAGGCTCTTAATTCACAGCAGCCTCATCGAGACGGATAACAGAATGCTGGTTACCAGACGGGATGGGGGGCGGCGAGAGGAGGGCAAACGGAGGAAAGGGGGTCAAACACGCAGTGGCCGAAAGAGACAAGACCAAGCGGTGAGCGCGCGATGGTGTGTACAGAGGTTGGATTATAACGTTGTGTGCCTGATATGTGTAAGCCATTAACCGATGTTCCCTCCAATAAATTAAATAAGTAAAATATAAAAAAGAATGTGCAAAGGATCCGGGGAGCCCAGCCCGCGTCGCCCGCTGAGCGGGCCGTAGCACGTGGGGCAGCGTGTCCCCCAGCTTCCGCGGGCACTGCCCTTTCTTCTGCTTTATTCATTTGAGGATTTTTTTTTTTTTTTTTGAGCCTTTGTGCTCCAGTGAGCACCACTTTGTGTCCTAAACGAGCCCAATAACGATATGTTTTGCCGAGGCTGCAGAGCCCGGGCCACCAGCGTCGGGAGGGGCTTCTCTCAGAAGTTCGGGTCCGATGCCTGGCCCCCTTCTTGTGGCCCATTTCTTCAGCTGTGGTCCTTGCCAGGTGGTACCGGTCAGCACGTCCTTCAGACAAGGCCCTGACGGGCCGGGGGGCGCCTTTCCGTGCCACGTGGGCGCTCTTTCCCGTGGGAGCCCCCCAGAGGGGGCTGGGGGTGGGCTTGGCAGTCCTGTGGTCCCTGAGCCCCCTCTCTGTACGTTCCTCTCTCCACCTCCTGCCCCCACCCTCACTGCTTCCTTTCCAGCCTGGTGGGAGGGGCAGCTTCCATACAGCCCCCGGCCACTTCCTGACCCCCCTTGGCCCAGGTCCACTCAAGTTTCTCCAAATTAGGGTGCTGATTCGGGCTGCGGAAACCATCCGTGGGTCCCAGCCCAGGTCCGCCCCGGCTGCTTGGGGCGTGTGTGAGGGCCCGAGCGAGCCCCCCAGGCGGGGGGCCGGGGTATACACTGAAACCTTTCAGGGGCGGCTCGGGCTGGGCAGCCAGACAGTTTTGCTTGGATCTGTGGGGCTGCCACGTGGCCATACATTCAAACGCTCTGAGAGTTCTGTGTCCTGAGCCAGCCAGAAAGTGACTTACAGCCCAAAGCAGGATCCGCAGGACGTCTGCTGTGGGAGGCCCCCCAGAGTAAACACTGAGATTTCTGGGAAATGTACCTGAGGCCAGACTGCCGGGAAAAGATGGGGCCCAGAATTCCTGATACTCAGCGCTGGGCCGGCGAGAGGCGCCAGCTTTCCATGGCCTCCCAGCCCCCACTGGTGGCTCTTCTCGTTCAATGACAATTCGGGCTTTTCGATTCC